GCGGTGGCGTTAGCATAGTAGCATGGACGACGAGATGATAGAAAATGAACACAACGGAGATCTAGTCCTATTGGCAGACATCCATTTAAAATGTAGGCAAATGCATGAAAAAAGTGGTTTCTACTTTTACTTTTATACTTTAAGTAAATGTACAAGCCTGTACTTTGTTACTTTTACTTGAGTAAAGAAGGTTAATCAGTACTTCCACTTTTACCAGAGTATTTTTTAACACAAGTATCTGTACTTTTACTCAAGTACGGAAAGTGAGTACTTTTGCCATCTCTGCTTTACGAGGGGTTCAGTAAATCATAGTGACTCGCTCTCAACAAGGCAGAGAGAGCAAGCAACGAGGCACCGAGGTAGCATTTGTTTTACGGATCAGATTTACAGCGTTTCCCCTTCAGATTGGCTCATCACTCCCCCAGTCTGTCCACAGAATTACATTAGGCACAGAACCAGCTTCATGCATCAGCTTCACTGCACCATATATTTACTATTACACTGGGTGAAGAGTGGCAAGACTGCTAACAATTAGATTACAGAAATGTGAACATGCTTAACCAACTTTCAAGGGCCATTGTAATATTTTGAGATCTATAATCTAAAGAGATAGCAGTGTTAATGTGGAGAATATATGGTCATGTTTTCTGGCAGCCGGAGGAGACCATTGAATCAGGAAGCCACACACAGATGGCTGCACCTTTAGTCAACATAGCAGACGAGTGACGGTTGCTAAAGGGTAAGTTAATGTGTCCCAAAGCAGGGAAGGAAAATCCACAGCTGACTGAGTTCTGATGTTCTAACCTTTCGGAAGCAATCCTGCTAAAAAAAAAACTTTAGATGAGTCAAGAAAAATCAGAGTCATTTGATGCATCCATTTTCTTTTGCAGACATTCTCAAAGCTGAGAGGAAAACCTCCATCAGACAGAGTGTCGTTAGGTTAAAATTATCAGTGCTCCAAGCCCAGCCCCTCCTCAAACATTTCTTGCTCCACTCCTCCACACAGGATTGTTCATTCATACAAAAGTTCTTGTTTTTTTTCCTCCAGCAGAGGAAGGAATGCTGAGAGCAATGACTCCCCCTTTTTAATGATTAAACATTGCTGAGACTTTGAAACTGTACGGCAGGTTTATTAAGGCATTCTGGGTCACATGCAGACCTTCAGACATGAAAACTGCTAATTTTTCAGGTATAATTTCATATATAATTTCATATATAAACTGTAACTGACAGCAAATCATCTCTAAGATAATGAAAACACTTCTTTATTGATAGAGGAGTCAATGGCAGAAGATGGACTTTCATTTAGAAACTATTTTAGATGAGTGTCTGAATGTCTAGTGGATGAAAAAGTAGCGGACTCGAAATTTCCCACAATGCACCTTGAAAAGTAGAGATCCTCCATGAATGTTTTATTTACAATCGCTAATGAAATCCAAACAGCTACATTTGTAAAAATGGTGGTTTCTTTTAATTGAATGTTCCGACAGACGAACTCTACTTTTTGCTCCCCATTGGTCACATGACTCCACCTCCCCGCACAGGTGCCTGTGCCATCATTGTTATTTTTCATCTTTGTTACAGCGGGCCGCTGTGACAACAAATCCCATAATGCAAACTTTGCAGTCATTGTCTTGTTGGAAGGTGAACCTTCAGCCCAGTCTGAGGTCCTGAAGAGGTTTTCTTCCAGGATTTCTCTTTACTTGGCTGCATTCATCTTTCCTTCAATTGCAACCAGTCATCCTGTCCCTGCAGCTGAACAACAACTCCATAGCATGATGCTGCCACCACCATGTTTCATGTGTTTTCTCCACACATACAGCTCAGAATTAATGGCAAAAAGTTTAATCTTTGTCTCATCAGACCTGAGAATCTATTTTTTTTTGGCAAACTCTATGCAGGCTTTCATATGTCTTGCACTGAGGAGAGGCCTCCATCGGGCCGCTCTCTGCCAAGCCCTGATTGGTGATGGGCTGCAGTAATAGTTGACTTACTGCATCTCTGGAGCTCAGTCACAGTGATCTTTGGGTTCTTCTTTACCTCTCTCACCAAGGCTCCTGTCCTACGACTGCTCAAGTTGGCTGGACGGCCAGGTTTAGGAAGAGTTCTGGTCATCCCAAACGTCTGACATTTAAGGATTATGGAGGCCACTGTGCTCTGAGGAACGTTGAATGCTGCAGAAATTATTTTGTAACCTTGGCCAGATCTGTGCCTTGCTACAATTCTTTCACTGAGCTCCTTGGGTAGTTCCTTCAATCTCATGATTCTCGTTTGCTCTGACATGCACTGTGAGCTGTAACGTCTTATATAGACAGGTGTGTGTCTTTCCTAATGAAGTTCAATCAGTTTAATTAAACACAGTTAGACTCCAATGAAGGAGCAGAACCATCTCAAGGAGGATCAGAAGAAATGGACAGCATGTGAGTTAAATGTGAGTGTCACAGCAAAGGGTCTGAATACTTATGACCATTTGATATTTCAGTTTTTCTTTTTCAATAAATTTGCAAAAAATTTTGCATTTGTCTTTTCTGTGAAGATAGAGTTCTGAGTGCACATTAATGAGAAGAAAAATAACTTTTTTATTTTTCTCCAAATGGTTGCAATGAAACAAAGTGTGAAAAGTTAAAGGGGGTTGAAAACTTTCCTTAAACACTGTACATAAAATTTGATTTTCTTTTCTTTTTGCAAAATGGGCCTCATCTGGGAAGGTTTTGTTTGTATGTAAAGAATTGAGATCAATGCAGGGAGCTGGGCGGGGCCAAAAGGAAGGACTTTCCCTCGGCCGGGGAATGTCTAGATGTAACTACATTAACCTTTAGCAGTACATCTAAGGCTGAGAAACACAACATCATTTATTATCCTGTAGTATTTATATGAACTAATTGTTACAATGGAGTCAGCACATCTTTTAGATTCCCCTCAGCTTCTCTTTTCCACCAATATCCAGTCTTAGGATAAATCTTTGCTCATATGTCTTCCTCTTTTTACGTTTTTCTACTAGATGCTAAGAGTTTATTACAGAGGTAGAGAACATTGAGCCCTTTAAATATGATCTTGCATAGCTCTGGCTTTTCGATTCCAAAGCATTTCCTGTCAGCTGTCATGACTTTATTTGAAAGCTAAGCTTTCAAAAACAGGTGCAACTTGACAATAAGGAGAGTGTCCCGACCCAACCCAGCTCCCTAGGCTATACATTCCTCTGCTTGAGCCTGAATTGGAGACCTAGAAATCACCAAAGCCATGTGAATGTCCAAACCCTCTGCTACAGTTTCTGCTTTTTCTATTCAGCTCAAAATTGACATGCAAGCAGACACACCAGTTTGTATAGTGAACTGACTGCTTCTCAGACAAATACTTGTTTAATGGGGCTGTTTAGGGGACCAATGCTGGATAGCAGTTCCTAATTTCTGAATATCCCTGTTGTCGCAGAACTATTAAAAAACTAAGCTAAATTTTTGTTTTGTTTTACAGTATTCTGCCAGTCAACGTCCTCTGCGTCTTGCTGAGCTTTTCCTCCTAATGAGATCAAATGATGGAGCTATTGCTAATCCCATTTCAATAGAGATGCACGATATATATCGGTCACCTAAACTATCGGGCCGATTTGGGCTTATTTTCTATCGGCCCGATAGCCATATTTTCCCGATAAAAATAGCCGATAATTTAATAAAAACGCGGAAACTGCGTTCAAGAGTAACGACTTTTATTTTGAAGACAGAAGCCATGACGCGCAGTGGCACGTCACATCCAATGCATGCAGCCAGTGAGTGGGGAAGTAGACAAACATGCCTTCACCAGTATGGTCGTTCTTCACAGTGGCAGAAAATGACAATGCTTTCGCTATATGCAATGCCTGTTCATTGCGGATTCCGAGAGGAGGAAAAAGGTCATCAAGCTTTAACACAAGTAATCTTATATCTCACCTGAAAAGTCGGCACCGCGGCGAAGAGGTATTAAAAGAGTATGAGGCAGCGGCTGCAGCAGCTAGCACAAGCAGTGAAACCAATGCGGTAACTAAAGGAAGAAAATCCGATGTTACCATTCTGCAGTCTTTTGAAAAAAGGAGACCCTTTGCGAGAGACAGTGAAAAAACCAAAGCCATTAACGGCAAAATAATGGAGTTCATTGCACTCGGCGACCAGCCTTTCTCCGTGGTCGAAGAGCCATCTTTTCGTAGCCTGTTGGCACACTTGGAGCCACGCTACACTCTTCCAAGCCGCCGCTTTTTCTCAGACGTGTCCCTCCCTGCACTTTATGATGTTGTTGCCACACACATCCACAGCCTAATCGAGCAGAACGGACTACACATAAGTTTCACAACAGACATATGGACGTCCGATGTTAGCCCTGTTAGCATGCTAAGTCTAACAGCACAGTGGCTAGACGAGGACTTTAATTTGCAACAAGCCATGCTGCATGCTCAGGAGTGCCCCGGATCACATACTGCCGCAATGATATGTCAGACGTTTAACACCATGCTTGCACACTGGAATATAACGAAAGACCAAGTGCATGTCGTGCTGAGGGACAACGCACGCAACATGATCAAGGCCATGGAGGAGTGTGGGCTTGCCAGTTTGGGCTGTGTAGCACACACGCTACAGTTAGCTGTGAACGAGGCTGTACTGAGCCAAAGAAGCATCGCAGACTGTGTCGCGATAAGCAGGAAGATAGTCGGACACTTTAAACACTCCAACGTCGCCACCTCCCGCCTACGAAACTTACAGAAACAACTTGGCATGAAAGAGACAAGGCTTCAACAAGACGTGGCTACTCGTTGGAATTCAACCTTCTACATGCTGACCAGCTTGTTGCAGCAGAAACGAGCCCTGGCAGCATATGCCGTCGATTTCGACTTGCCTGCATTTCTGAGCCCAAATCAGTGGGCTTTAATCGAAAATATGCTAACAATTCTTGACCCGTGTGAACAGCTGACAAAAAACATGAGCTCAGCTACAGCCACCGCAGCTGATGTGATCCCCTCCATTGAGACCCTGAAACGTCTGTTAAACAAGACTGTTGCGACAGATCATGGAATCAAAACTTCAAAGAGTATGCTACTGCAAGCTGTTGAGCAGCGTTTCAGTCACATCTCGACAGAGTCCGTGTGCTTTCTGGCCACAGTGTTGGACCCCAGATATAAAGACTGCTTTTTTGACCAAGCAACAAAGAAGGAAGCAATGGAAGTCTTAACGGCCAAAATGAGATCACAGACAGAAAATGAGCCAGAGGAAGAGCCACATGAGAAGAGAACCAGGACAGATGACAACAACAACAATACTTCCCTGCAGAAAATGTATGAAGAAATCCTTCACGAAAATGCCACAAACGAGCTGAACCACAGCCAAGCTGATCAGCAGGTAATTGATTTGTTGTTTATATAAAGCTTTGGGCTATCTGATAAAAATTTTTTATATTATGTTAAATATGCTATGTATAACATTAAATATAATTTTGTTTTTGTTCTTTGTTATTCTTCTATTACTTTAGATTCAAGCCTATCTCTCAGAGCCCACAATTCCTCGATCCGAGAGCCCCTTGGACTACTGGAGAAGCAACAAAATCCGGTTCCCACAACTTGCCCTCCTCGCACGGAAGTATCTGTCCTCTCCTTGTACAAGTGTGGACAGTGAACGTTTATTTTCTGCTGCTGCAAATGTTATTGATGAAAAACGAAACAGACTTGGATGTGAGAAAGCAGAGATGCTTCTCTTTGTTAAGAAAAATCTCCCACTGGTGCCCTCCCCCAGAATATAGAAAATATAATGCAGATAATTTGACAGTGACAAGTTTGGGGGGAGGTTAGGATAGGAAATGTTGAGAAGAGAAAAATCTTTGAAGTTGAAGTTTTGAAGAATTTAAGCATTTTATTTTTGAAACAGATTTAAATATTTACGTCCCTAAGGGATGTACGTTTTGTTAAAATTAAGAGGCACATTTTATGCTTATTGTTGTTAGAACTTTTGCTATACGTTTTATGATGGCATATGACCACATGTAATGACATGAAACAGTGACAAGATTGGGGAGTGGTTAGCAAAGGACATGTTAAGAGGAAATCATTTAACTTTTAAGTTGAAGTTGTAAGCATTTTTTTTTATCTAAATGACTGAGTTTTTTTTTATGCAGTCAAGCATTAACGGTTTTCAGGATGCACTTTACTTTATTACATACCTCCATAAGAGATGCACTTTTTTTGTTAAATTATTATGCATGTTTGATGCATATCTGTGTCTTGCTACATGTTTTATAGCAGATTAACTTATTTTTTTGGTAAAATGAAAAGAAATAAACATTTGCAGTTTCACAAAGTTGTTGTTTTTTGTTATAGATAGGTCAAATCAGCTAATTCATCAGTTATCTATACTGCACAAAGTAGATTATATCAATATATTATGTTAATCTTGTGTTAATAAGAAAATGTAATAACATTTTTACATATCGGTATCTGTATCGGCCCTGAGAAGCAGGAAATTATCGGTTATCGGTATCGGTTGAAATTTTTAATATCGTGCATCACTACATTTCAATACTTTCTACCCCATAGAAGTTCCCCTCAAATGAGACAACTGAATGAGATTGCTGCCCAAAGACTTTGATTGAGCTAAATCTGCCGTTAGCTCTCTGCTCCATAGATTGCATCGCTGGCACATTGCTTCTGTCTTAATTCAAACCTTTTTTTTTTCAGAAATTGATGCTTTTTAAAGATGAGAAGCTATTGCGATATTGTTAACTTGATGCGATCGGTTGAGGTTTTTATGATTGCTAACCTACTTACATCTGATGATAAACTGTCAACTCAATATGAATGCATAGGATTGAAATTAGGTTTGAATTGGGCAGCATGTGCTGTAACTGGATCTGAGTCGTGCTTCACTTATAAATACATTTTATTGACAAATATGAACTAAAGCTAGAAGTAATCAGACTACATGGACATTAATTGGTCCCCTTTGTCTTGCAAAGTACACCGAAATTAGATTTTTGTGAATCTAATGTAAAGGTTTAAAATGAAAATTTATCAGTTGCTGTTTGGATTATCTGAGTGTGCAGCTGTTGCAGCTGTCCAGAGGAATTCCACCCGAAGTTAAGTTATTTTCTCTGTGATATCTCTAACTGACTACTTTAAAACATAGCACCTTCTGCTGCACTTTTCTACTGAGCACTTGTCAGTTTCACACTGTTTTATTTCTGATAGCAAGGAGTAGCTAGCCTAGGCTAGCGCTAGCTTAGCATTGCTATGGCTTCTCTCTCTCCCTCCCTTGACTCTTTTCCAACTCTTCCTTCTTCCTCTCCTCTCTCCTGCTCTCTGTGTCAGATGTTCAGTTATTCCTCTGCCTCCTTTAGTGATAATGGTATGTGTAATAAGTGTAGTATTTTTGTAGCTTTGGAGGCGAGGGTGTCAGAGTTAGAATCCAGGCTTCAGGCTGTTGAACATCCAGGAGTTAAAGTAGGCCCCCCACGTAGCTGTCCTCCAAAAGTGCCTGAGCAGCCAGGCGATTGGGTAACTGTACGCAGAAAGCGTAGTCGTGGATCTCTGCCCACTGGTCACCACCAGCCCGTTCACGTTTCTAACCGGTTTTCCCCACTCAGTGACACACCCACTGAGAAGCCCACTCTGGTGATTGGCAGCTCCATAGTCAGAAACGTGGCATTAGAGACACCAGGGACCATAGTCAAATGTTTGCCGGGGGCCAGAACGGGCGACATCAAATCCTACCTGAAACTACTGGCTAAGGATAAGGTTAAATACAGTAAGATTGTTATTCACGCTGGTGGTAATGACACCCGGTTACGCCGATCGGAGGTCACTAAAATTAGTGTTGCTTCGGTGTGTAAGTTTGCCAAAAAAATGTCGGACTCCGTAATTTTCTCTGGTCCCCTCCCTGATCTGACCAGTGATGACATGTTTAGCCGCATGTCGTCATTCAACCGCTGGTTGTCTAGGTGGTGTCCTGAAAACAACGTGGGCTACATTAATAATTGGCAATCCTTTTGGGGAAAGCCTGGTCTGATTCGGAGAGACGGCATTCATCCCACTTTGGATGGTGCAGCTCTTCTTTCTAGGAATCTGGCCACATTTATTAGTCCTCCAAAACCCTGACCACCCAGGGTGCAGACCAGGAAGCAGAGTTGTAGTTTAACACACATCTCTGCAGCTTCTCTACTGTTACCCACTCTTTACTCCATCCAGACAGTGTCTTGCCCACGACCAAAATCTAATAAATTAGCAAATATTCCTAAAGGAGTAAATCATGATAATCTAATTAAAATAAAAATAACTCCAATTGGGGAAAAAGTTAAAACAATTAAATGCGGTCTGTTTAACATAAGATCTCTTTCCTCTAAAAGTCTGCTAGTTAATGACTTGATTTGTGATAATCACATTGACTTGTGTTGCCTTACAGAAACCTGGCTGCAGCAAGAGGATTATGTGAGCATAAATGAGGCAACTCCTTCAAGCTATTTAAATTTTCACATACCCAGAAGTTCTGGGCGAGGAGGAGGAGTAGCAGCAATCTTCCAGTCTGACTTACTGATTACTCCCAAAACAGTTAATACCTACAACTCTTTTGAACATTTAACCCTTAATTTCCCTGATCCAAATTTCAAGGCAAGAAAACCTCTTCTTTTTGTAACTTTGTATCGTCCACCAGGTCCTTACTCTGAATTTTTAGATGAGTTTTCAGAGTTCCTTTCTGATTTGGTATTAAAAACTGACAGGGTCATCATAGTGGGAGATTTTAACATCCATGCTGACATTGAAGGCGATAGCTTAAGAGCAGCCTTTAATGCTATCTTAGACACTATTGGCTTTGTTCAAAATGTGAATAGTCCCACACATTCTCATCTTCATACTTTGGATCTTGTGCTGACATACGGCATAGAATGTGAAGAAATAACAGTATTTCCTCACAACCCTGTCCTCTCTGACCACTTTCTAATAACCTTCAGGATTACTTTAACAGAGTTCTCCTCCCCCAAAAGAAGGTTACATTTTAGTAGATCTTTATCAGATAGTGCAGTTATAAATTTTAAAGAATCTGCTTCACTTTCTCTCTCCTCTTTGTCGCTGAGCAGTGCTGCAGAATGCAAAAGCATAGCTTATTCCCCTTCACAGGTTGATGATTTTGTTGATGGGGTTGCTAGTTCTCTGCGTGCTGCCTTAGACAATGCAGCTCCTTTGAAAATGAAAACCGTTAAAAATAGAAAGCTTGCTCCTTGGTTTAATGCAGAGCTGCGTACTTTGAAGCAAAATGCTAGGAAACTGGAGAGAAAATATCGCTCCACAGGCCTGCGGGAGTCCTTCCTAGTCTGGAAAAATGGTTTACTGCTGTATAAGAGGACCCTTTGTAAAGCAAGAGCAGCATACTTCTCCTCATTAATAGAGGAGAATAAGAATAATCCTAGATTTCTTTTTAATACAGTTGCCAAACTCACCCAGAGCCATAGCTCTGTTGAACCGTCCATTCCACCTGCTCTTAGCAGCAATGATTTTATGGGATTCTTTATAAATAAGATTGATCTTATTAAAAATAAGATCATAAGCACTCCTCTATCCGCGATTGTACCTGAGGTAGTCATGGAATCTGAACCGGGTTTAGACTGCTTTGATCCAGTTGAACTCTCTGAATTAGCAAAATTATTGTCTTCATCTAAGCCTTCAACTTGTATGTTAGATCCAGTTCCAACCAGGTTATTTAAGGAGGCATTCCCTTTGATCTCCTCCTCCATTTTAGATGTGATTAATTTATCTCTGTTTCAGGGATATGTACCTAAAGCTTTTAAGGTTGCTGTAATTAAACCTCTGCTTAAGAAACCGTCTCTTGACCCAGATGACTTGGTTAATTATAGACCTATATCCAATCTTCCTTTCTTATCCAAAATTCTTGAGAAAGTAGTTGCCAAGCAAGTTTGCGATCACTTACACCATAATGAACTTTTTGAAGAGTTTCAGTCTGGCTTTAGAGCTCATCATAGCACTGAAACAGCTCTGGTGAAAGTCACTAATGATATTCTCATGGCCTCAGATAATGGACTTGTATCTGTGCTCGTCCTGTTGGATCTTAGTGCTGCATTTGATACAGTTGACCATAATATTCTTTTAGAAAGACTTGAACATTTTGTTGGAATTAAAGGAACAGCATTAGACTGGTTTAAATCTTATCTATCTGATCGATTTCAGTTTGTTCATGTTAATGATAGATCTTCAACATGCTCAAAGGTTACCTGTGGAGTACCACAGGGATCAGTGCTAGGACCAATTCTATTTACTTTATACATGCTCCCAATTGGTAGAATTATTAGACAGCATGGGATTAATTTTCACTGTTATGCTGATGATACCCAGCTATATCTGTCTATAAATCCAGATGAAGCTAACCCATTACATAGATTACAGGCATGTCTTGAAGACATAAAAACCTGGATGACTCTTAACTTTCTGCTTCTGAATGCAGACAAAACAGAAGTTATAGTCTTTGGACCAGAGTCTTTGAAAAATAAGCTGATTAGTCAGTCACTTCATTTGGATGGGATTAAACTGATTTCAGATAATAAAGTAAAAAATCTTGGTGTTGTTTTTGATCAGGACCTGTCATTTAAATCCCATATCAAAGAGGTTTCTAGAATTTCCTTCTTTCATCTGAGGAACATTGCAAAAATTAGAAATCTCCTGTCCAGGGGTGATGCTGAGAAACTAGTCCATGCATTTGTTACTTCAAGGCTGGACTATTGTAATTCTTTACTATCAGGAAGTCCACAAACTGTAGTTAAGAGTCTTCAGCTGATCCAAAATGCTGCAGCCAGAGTTCTGATGAAAATTAAAAAGAGAGATCACATCTCTCCTATCCTGGCTTCTCTTCATTGGCTTCCTGTTAAATCAAGAATAGAATTTAAAATCCTCCTTCTCACATATAAAGCCTTAAATGGCCAAGCTCCATCTTATATCAGAGATCTGATTGTTCCTTATGTTCCTAACAGAGCACTTCGCTCTCAATCTGCAGGTTTACTAGTGGTTCCTAGAATTTCTAAAAGTAGAATGGGAGGCAGATCTTTTAGTTATCAGGCTCCTCTCCTGTGGAACCAACTACCAGTTTTAGTCCGTGA